AACACTGTCTCCCCAAAATGGCAAAGATGGAGTAGAGTGGAGCGGTAAGTAGGTGGTGATGAAATACAGACACCACAAGTCAGGATTTGTTGAATTAGTCCATAGCCTTGTTTTTACCCATCTGGCAATACATCATAATGCTTCTTTGTGGCTGTTCCTTCTAGTGCTTTTCAGCAATGCACAGCCTCTTTCTACAGAAATTATTCCTTGCCTTGCTTTTATAGTGATTTAAAGTTAGGGTGTGATTCTATGGTTGCAATGTCTTCAGGCTTTTCCTTCATGAGAACCCTGTCATGTTTTGCTGGTAAGAAGATGGGTGATCCTCTGGGATTGCCTGAAATAAGGGAGCTGTTGCGAGTTGAAGCGCTCAGCCTGACCTTAGTAAGAAATCTGGGTGGGGAGGAAAGGGGTGGGTAAATCCTTGTTTCCTTGTCTGGGGGCAGGGGCAGTTGTAGAGCTCATCAGTGACTGTTGCTCTGCATTTACAGGTCTAATCCTTTTCCTATCCTAGGAGAGGGTAGATCAAGAGCTGTCTCTGTGAGAGAAGTGCATTTGGGCTCGTTGCTATCACATCCACCTCTTCTTTCTCCCTCATTGCCCAGTGAGGTGGTCAGGCAGTTGCTATGTTCCCAAGGTACATCTCATGAGAACATTCATATGTTTCCTCTCCTGTCAGTTGAAGAACAGGGACCATTTGTGCTCCTGCTGACATTTGTTGCACCAATTCTTTGCATTGGATTAGCTGTGGATGCAAGGAATTACCTTTCTGCTGAATACTGAATGCCTGTAAAATGCATTGAGAGAAGAATGATGCCTGCAGGGAAGACTTTGTCATAGTGTAGGGCAGTGTAAGCAGTTGGTGAAAAGGGATCATTTACTTAGCATAACTTTTGGCGCTCTGCTAGCTGTCAGTAATAGACTGAAAAATTTTCAGTTGTAGTATAGAATGTACTAAATTACTTAAACTGCAACTTTCAGAAAAAAATAACCTTTAAAATCAATGGAGTTTTTGAGATTAGCTATGTTTTTGACATTTTTTGACTCCACCTTTACTTACCAGTATAGCATGTTTACAGGCAATATTGTGCTGCTCAGTGTGGTGAGACAGTGATCTGATTTGGACTGAAACTATTAGTATGCTTGGAGAAGATAATTTTAATCAGCACAATTAAAAGCCCAGGCATTATTGGCTGGAGTTTTCCAAATCTTACCCTCTAGTCAAGGAAAAAAAAAATTTTTCCACTGTTAAACTTGATGGAATCAGTCAAATGTGTATTCCAGCAATACATACTTGCATATAGGCTAGTACAGCAATGATTTTTTTTTTTTTTCCCCAGCAGCTATCTGTGCTTCAGCAGTTACTTGAAGATTTGCCAGGTCATGAAAGTTAAGGCCAACCCCTTGCCAAAAAGCAAGCTAGCAAGGACCTTTGGACACCACCATGCAAAGGATACTGTTTTAACTGAACAGATGTTCTCAGTCCAAGGCTGATACTCTTGGAAGAGGTGCCAGGCGACAGAAATAGTTGTATTTTCTAGGGCAGATGGAAAATAATGCTGTGTCATTCAAGCTGGTGATTGGAGTTGTGGAGGATTCAAGTTGAGAACTTGAAGTTGTGGATGGCTTTCTGTGTATGAGTCCTAAATGTGTATCTTGCTCTCAGTGTCTGGTTTGATGTTCTTAGGAGACAAAATATTCAAATATAGGCGGGCCACCTGTGTGTTACCATACCATTCAAAGCAGCTAGAATTCTGTTTGGAGTAGTCAATACTGTGTGCTCATTTATGAGTGAAGTGTCTTGTTATTCTGGGAAGTGCTGAGAAGTATTTTTAGTATGATGGTTTTTTATATATTGGCTGAAACATTATGTCAGAAACAAGTGTTTCTTGTTGTTTTCATCTGTTCATAGTGACAAATTGAAGCACACAGTTATAATACAAAATAATACTTTATTTGTTATGTATGTATATAGAGTGTGCATATACTTATATGTATATGTAAGTGTAGATATATTCCAAAGGTAAAAAAACTGTCATTCATCTAAGGAGGCCTTATATATTGGTGGGGTTTTCTTTTTAAATATACTATTGTTGGCATCTAATTGATAAAATATTAACTCCGATCTTAACTTGGCATAACTCATTACCTTGATTTCCAGCAGCCTTAATATTTAATTGGCTTCTTGTATAGTCACTTACTGTATTAAAGTTAGAGTTTCTTCCTAATTTCAGTGCAAACTATGAAATGTTCAAAGGTGCTAGATTGAAGTAAGGGGCTTGCTTTGAAGATTTTTCCTAGAGAAACCACTGGTGGCTTCCAAAATGTGTTCAGTTAGGATGAATTTGTATCAATCATTGTCTTTAGTAACTTATTTTTTTTGTAGTTCAGTCTTTAAGACAAAATTCACCTTGCCAAATAAATGGGTTGATTTGGTTTTATAAAACCCCCTGCATGTTTCCTGTTTATCATGTCAGACTCTTGTGGGTTGTTTCTTTTGGACCAAGTTGGAATTTCTGGCTCTGAAAAGTAAGGATCTAATCCTAACTGCATTTAAGGACTATTTTCTTTTACTGTAGTGTAATGCTATTGAGGTGCATATAGAAAAGCATTCTTCAGTATTGTGGTGGGAGAAGCAGAGGAAAAAAAAAAATTATTACACAAACTACAGTGATAGTTCATGATGTTGTCACTTTATAGTGCATGATATGGCATGTGTGACCAAGAGAGACTTCCACCAAAATAGTTTTGTGCTGGTGTCTATTAATTCAGCCAGTTATGTGGATAACTGTAATACAGAACAATATGTGACAATCCTAAGGTATTCTGTCCAAGTTATGTGGTCTGGATTGAGCTACCCATGCAAAATTAACTTTAGAGTCATTGATCCTTAAAGGCTCTACACATAAATTATTTACAGGAAGAATCATGACTTGGTATCTTGCCTAAGTTTTTATTAGACCACTACCCACACAAAAAAGCGCCAAGGTGGTATCACTGCTAATTCTGATCATTGTGCATGAAAAATTAAGCATGACAATAGTTAAATTGATTTAAAGTGTTAACAAATGTATGGTAGATCTTAATCCAGGCAGAACTTAGCTTTGCCATTTCTTGCCCCCCAGTAGAGTGCAGTGCCATCTTTAATATAACTTCCTTGAACGAGCATAGGTTTAATGGACTGACTTACTAGAAATTGCAAATGTGGCATATTTTATTCCCACAAAACTTTTAAACCTGGTATATGTTTCAGTAAGCAGTTACATGAGGCACTTTTTTTAGGTTCAACAATTGAGACAGTTTTCAAACGTTTTCTGTGGTGTTTTTATTGCATGTGGGATGTAGTAATGACTGGCCATGGGATAAAGAAGTATTAACTGTAATCATAAATCAGTGAACCATTTTAAGAGAAAAACAATTTTTAATAATATTTAATGTTTTACTTTTCCTCAAAAAGCTCTGTTTATCCAGTCAGTGTTGCCTTTTCAATAAAGATGCAATACTTGATATTGTCTGGCAAGGAACACAGTCAACATTTTCAGTGTGTCTTTGGCCAAAAATTGACATGAAGTGTTTAATATGTAGAATTGTTGACAGTTTTAAAAATAATTCATTACAAGTTTTACTATTGAAGTTACCCAGTTTGTTAAGCAAAGGAAATACTCCCTGAAGCAGATGAATTGGACTTGGAGAAGGTGTGTGTGTATGGCAGCCTTGAAAGATTTTAGAACTAGTATGTCTTGTCATCTTTTATCTGGTTTTAAGTTTTATTTTAAAAGAAGGAAAATGTATTTGTCTGTTTTATCCATGAGCAAGCTAGCAATTGAACTAGACTGAATAGGAAAAATATTGTCAACCACAGCTGTCAGGAGTTGGTTCCTGACCTCAGCACATCAGAGCATGGGAGTTTAGGCAATGAATTCTCTCCATTCAGTGTTATAATTCACAGTAAAGCTTTGACAGTTGTTCATCTAGTTTGGATTGTTGATTATGTCTTGGTTTAATACAGTTAATTTAATTTAATTGAAATTTAAAACATTTTAGAGCAATGCAAGTAAGAATACCCTAAAATCTATTTTGAATGTAAAAAAATAAGCCATATTTTCACTTTTTTCCCTTCTTCTGTCTTCCAAAAGCATAAAAAGGCATCCATAGTCCAGGATGCCTCCCAGATAATAAAAAGATAAGTCTTTTTTTCAGCTGTTAAAAAAATAGTGGAAGATCATGGCAGCCAATGCTGGGATCCCTCAGTCTGATTAATTTCTAACTTAAACCTTTGCTTATGTGAATTCCTGATACAAATATTTGTAGTACTTTCTGTGTTCTGAGTATAAAAAATTTCTTGATTAAACATCCCAGTTAGTTGTTTACTTTTCTTCCAAACCATGTTACTGGATTTTTTTTAGTTCAACTGTTGCCCTCAGTTTGTTGTGAGACACACAGCCTGGCTTTTGTGAAGATGAATGGAAAGCATGAAAGCTGTTGCTTCTGGAACTTTTATTATTGCAGGCAGTTAGAATTTAACCAAAATTATATTCCCATATTCTGTATTTTAAATGCACACACACCTAGGGGAATTTCTTTTTCTCTATATGATAAAGTTATGGCTGGGAGTTGAACAAGTGAGTGGTAGCTGTTACCAGCAGGTCTAAAGCTATCAAGCTACCTTTTTTGTAATTCCAAGAATTGTAGCAAGATTATTAACATTCTGTGGTGTTTGTCTTAATTATGTGCCTAAATTCTAAAGGAGCTTTTAATCTCAAACTACTTTCAGAACTATGAATTCTTTAGTAGAGAAATTATAAGTTTTTAAGTCACTGACACTCTCCTGAAGGTTGTTTCAAGAAACTTGTTTGTAGATGATTGTTTTATATAAAGCAAATCTGAATTAAAATTAAAAAGTGCTATTAGGTTTCTGAAACAACAAACTGCTTTGTAAATGCCCTAAAATCTCAGATATTATTTACTGGGTTGTAGTCTAATTCTACAATTCTTTTATGCAGATTCCAACTGGAACATCTCGTCAGAGTTACCCAGCTACCAGCTATCAGGACTTCAGCAACTGGGAATCTCTAATGAAAATCAAAGAGGGCCTGCTCAGACAGAAGGAGATTGTGATTGATCGGTGAGTAACCTGCTCCTGCAGCATTGATTAGATTAGATGATGTTAAAACTGGGATGTAGAAACTGACTTTCAGGAGAGCTACTTAGTCAGTAAAGTTGTTAGGTGCCAGTCCAGCGAATATTTATGTACAAACATGAGGGAGCTGTCCTTGCTGGGAGGGAAGACTGGCTGCTGACTAAAAGTCTTGTACAGAATTGGAAATTTACTTCAGGGTTTGATGCCTATGCAATGGAAAAGGGAGAGTGAGACCGACAGCCACTTCTGCAGTCAGCTTCCCAGTCTTAGCTTCTTACCAGTCTGGGGGTTTGTATCAGACAACCTTCTGCTTGCGTAGGTCTTGAAAGAGATTTGCCAGGTGAAAATTGCTAAACTGTATTGCATTTTCCATTACAAGTACAGAAAGGTAGTATATTCAAAGCCAGTTGATAAAGCTCTGAGAAATTGGCCTTTGCAGTAACATTTAGTGGTAAAATCCTATTCAAATGATCATACAGATTATTCAGATAATAAAATATTAAATTGAGAATCTCTGTCCATAAATACATAGCTTCTTAATAAAGTTGCTATCAATCTGACATGAGCCTTGGCAGAAACTCACTGATGTTAAGTTTCTAATCGATCTGAAGTAATTTATGGAGTTCTTGATATTTTAATAAAATTAAGCCTTAATGAGGAAAATGTGCTTTTAATAAAGGGTTTGAGCTTAATGAAGCTTACAGTAAATTAGCAGATGTCATCAGGAGCTGCAGTTTGGATGTAGGACATTTAAGGAGGGCATTTTTAAATTTGACGTAATTGCTATTTGGCTTAGTATGTGTTTTAATAATAAACTCTTGGCTGGTGGCTGGAAGAGAAGTTGTTCTGATCTTGAAATAGTCATGCCCTCTTATTGGTACTTTGCTCCACAGCGTGAGTAGAACTGTGTAAAGCAGGTGTGTGTTGATCACAGGAATGTCAGGCATCTGTTATGGATGTTTTTATATTTTATCTAGCAGTTCCTTTCTTTTAATAGGTGGAGGTATACAGCCTGGGCATAACTTACTTTGGGACCAGGAGAATTAGCTTGTGCAAGATCTGTTCCTTCCTCTATTGCAGCAGAGCAAGGAATTGCAGTGGTTTAAGGTGTTTCTGTCCCTAGTGATCTGGCCAGGACCTCTACTGGCATTTTAGTGACAAAGGCTGGTATCAGATTCCCCAGTTTTTGCTTTTTAGTTGTTTCTTATTAGGGTGCATTTACCTGCTTCTGCAGCTGAAAATGGTATGCAGAGTCAGGAAGTGCAGCACACCGTCCCACTCTGCCAGCTCTCCTGCAGAAGTGGTGATCTCCCAAGGGAATAAGCAGTTAAAATGGATACATCCTTGATGGTTGCTTAGATCTCCTCTGTCAGAGCCTCTTGATCAGCTGCTTAAAGGCTGTCTAAATTACAGTGTTTTTTTTCTGGGCTTGCTCAATCAGTAATAATGCTGTATTACGGGCAGCCCACCTCTCAGGGCCCAAGATGTCGGCAGTATTTGTGAGTACATTGCCCGTTATGGCTAGGGGTGGTATTTGATGCCTCTGCTGAGTCTGTCATCCTCTGCACACTACAAAAAGGATTGTTACGCAGTGACAACTGAAAAAGCAGTTGACATTAGTCTTCTCACACTGGAATTACATTTACAGTCGAGGGTGAAGTTTCTGAGGTGATGGTTTGCAACCTAGTCACCTGCTAACATGACTTAATGCTGTCCATATTGAGGAAGAAAATTTATTTCTTGGTATCCAGTGGCAGTGGGCTGGTTCTTTTTTGTACAAGTCATGCTTTCCTGTGCCTTAATGATTCTAAATACAGTTCTTTCTGACCAGAAGTCGGTTGAGATGATTCCTTTTCATTCAATTGAAAAGGCAGAATGGAAGACTCTGGGAGGCTATTGAAGTGAAAGAAAGACTGCTTAGTGATGTTACAGTTATTTTCTTTAAGTAGACAACTGTTTTTACAGTTAAGCATGTTGTAAATTATAATAATGCAGTGTTTTATACTATATTATTATATAATTGAATTATAATAACACATCACAGAAAAGACTCTTTTTTAATGTTAAGCTTCCATTTGGGAAAAATATTTCCCTTGAAAGTTAATATTTTAAAATTAATTAAAATATTTAAAAGATATTGGTTTTATTATTTATGACAAAAATATTTTTTTGTCTCTTGGAGAAATCGGTTCATAACTGCTGCCCAAAATTATGGAACTAGAACTCCATTATAAAGCAGTAGTGTCAATATTTCTTATTCAATGGGTTATTAATAAGACTAAAGCATGAATAATACCTTTGTTCAAGGCACCAAGTGAAAATTTGGTGTTACCCCTATTTAACACATGGGAATATAAGGTCTTGCACTGAGAGCCAAGGTGGTGTGTAGAAGTAAACTTGAGTCTTCCAACTCCTCATCTTCCTGAGCTTACTTGAAACTTTTTTTCAAAATTTGAATTTATTTGGGAATACGGACCTAATATAAAAAGGTTGTGGTGTGTTTAATTAGGATTCAAGATGGCCATAGTTCAGTTACAGAATTTTAGTTTTCAGGAAGTGGAGGAAGAATTCTTTTGTTGACTTAGGTTTGGATGTAGATGTTTGCTGAGAAGGCCCTGCCTACCTGTGGCTCTCATGGAATTATAAAAGGTACTTATACCTCTTGTTGAGTCATATCTCACACTGAAATTTACCAGCTGGTAACTGGAGAATGCCAGCAAGACTTGTTTAATTCCAGGGAGGCAGGAGCTTGGGAGAGACGGGTTGGCCTCCTGCTGTCTAGAAGCCGAAGGAGTGGAGTAGCAGCCAGCGTGGTGCTCCAGTCCCAGCTGCTTGCTGCTGACAGGTACAAGGAACAGCTGGATGAAAAGAAGCACACCAGGAACACGCTTCTCTTGCCCTTGTCACCAGCCTTCCTTTCAAACACAGGGTCATTGCCCAGTTGTTGTTTTTTAAGGTTAAACCCTCTTCTGTTGGGAATTGCACTGGGGCTCTGCTAATCCAGGAGGGGGAGGAGATTAATGTCATTTCAAGTCACACACCTTGTTCTGCATAGTGATGCTTAAATCTGTTGATAAGCAGGAAATAGAGGCTCCTTATGGGGTAGAATCCTTAAGCTGTTCTACTTTTATCTCATTAAAAAGGAAGATAGGGGCAGGAGGAGAAAAGAGAAACTGCTGCCTGCTTCTCTTCTTTCCATATGATAAAAAGGAGAAAAAAAAATAAAATAAAAATCCAGACCCTCCGGATTAGATTATTGGACTTCCTTGTTTTGCACTGGAAATCTTACCAGTTTGGAATAGCTGCAAACAAGTTCCAAATAGTCATTAAAAATTATTCAAGGAATAATGCTTATAATGTAAATCATCATCATAGTTGGATACTTTGTCACTGGAAATTCAAAGCCATTAATAGCATTTTAAAAACCCAAACAGCCACTTGCATTTGTGAATAGAACAAGTGGCTTGATTTTTATTCTATACACTGTGTTGAACAGCAGATTTAGTAACAGATTAGTTAAAATGGATTTGATTTGTATAGTCTGTTCAGCATAACAAATGCGTATTTTTAAGTATAAGTGAACAGAGTAGCATAAATGGGTGGGTTTTAAAGTGGTTTTGGTTTGCTTTATAAAACTATTGTAGACATCACTTCCAGTTTGAGGAATTAGAGCCTGAAGTTGGCTTTTAAGTCTGCTCCTAAAAAATGGGATGGAGACCATACTTTTAGGAAGCTAAAACATGACTTGAGGAAGGGAGCCTCAAGGGAGGCATGTGGGTGTGCACAGGATCACAGTGGTACCTCTTAAAAATGTCATGTTTTCTCACATAACAGCTGTTGGGGCAGGCTGTGAAGAAGAACTTAAGGATTTTGTCCGTAAGAAGATGTGCTGCTGTAACACTTATTACTAGAATGTCTGTCACCTCCTGTACAAAATAATTGGATTATATCATTGCCTTATTCACTGGTGGATTAATATGTAACACTACATCACATTTAGCACCAGAGGGAGCCAACACTGTTTATATTGGTTTAGAAAATTACATCAGATTTTAATTTTTTGTGTTGCTCCTCTGTTCAGTACATTCACAACACTAAAATTACAGTGTTTGGTACATTTGAAAATGCCTTCTGTGACTGGGCAGCCACTGTTGATGTCTGTAGTGTGTGCCTGGCACTGTTGGTTTGGCACGAACTACATGTAGGGGGTAGGTGAATAAATTACAAATATCTGAACATGTGACATAAGCTGCTGAGTATAACACTGTGCCATGTTCTCTTCCAAACAGCCTAAGTGAACAGCTTTTTAAAGTAGGTATTGAAGTATAATTTTAGTGAATAGCTGTCATTCCCCAGAACGTAGTAACATTTATGTTCTCAAAACAGTTGCTAAACCATTAGCTTTCCATTCATACCTGAATTATACTTAGTTGTTTTTATTGGGGAATAAATTTTCTTTGCCATGTGTCAAATTGTTCTGACTTTAGTAGTTGCCATCAAACTGTATGTGCTCTGATAGTACTTGTGTTACTCCTAGTGTAATGCTGTAATTCTGTTAATCTGGGATCGTCTGTTAAACTCTGCAGCATTAGTATATCCTCTTGAGTGGGAATTTTATGCCATTCTTGAGGAAGCTTTGAAGCTTTATGCCACACAGCATCTGAGCACATGCATGTGTAACTGGGAGTCCTTTGCAATGAGGAGGTGAGGAGGGCTCTGAGGTACTTCCTCAAGAGTGTCTTGCTGCAAATACTCTTTGCTTGCAATAACAACTTGAAAAAGATGTATGTATCTTCTGTTTCCACCGATTGTCCATATAACTTGTGGTTAAGGCTTTGTATCCTGGCCTGGTAAACTTTCAGGATGGTTTTGTTACAGAGTAATATTTTTTGTGATTTTAAATGTTCACCTTTTCACAGGTGAATACTAGTAATGCTGATTAAATGGAATTTGTTCATGTTAGTTTTCGCATAATAACATAAATCTCGACAATAATGAGAGGATGTATGGCTAGAAGGGACCTATCTAGCCTATCTGCTGGGCTCTAGGGGGAGAACAAGCTAAAGTGGTCTCACTCCTAGTAGATGTCTGTGCTATTGCTATCTACAATAGTAGTGATTCTACAGTCTTTAGGGGTTGGACAGTTTGATTAATTAGTTGAAACGTTAGAAAACTTTTCCTTATATGACTTAGTCTTTCCTCCTAGGTCATGTTTTCTAGACCTCTGGTAGCTTTTGTTATTCCTTGAGATCTCTCCAGCTGATTAGAACATCTTCTCTCAAGTGGCTGAACTGACCAGTTAAGGCCTCCTTCCAGCTGAGTGCTCATCTCTCACAGGCCATACTTGTGTGGTTTTTGGTTTTTGCAGTACTATGTTCTGATTTTTTTTTTTTGTCAGATGCAGTCCCAATTCCTGTTCTGGGGAACTGGAGCTGAGCCATTTTCTATTGTGTAGATTTAAATATTTTTAGGAAGTCTGTTTGGCAGAGCTGAGAACAGCAGGGAAGATGCAATTTTTGCTCTATAGTCTTCCTGTCAGGAGACTGCCAAATTGCAAACCTTCCAACATGGGAAGGAAGAGTGCAGTCCTCTGTGTGAGCAGATGTTCTTGTCTATGTCCCACTTACGCCTCACACCCCTTTGACTAAGTAGCCTAGAGCATTTCAGAAAGTGGAGTTGCTGACTGCTCTTGCCTGCCTTGCTTTGATGCTAGTTTGTCTCCTGTGGGCCAGGCTAGTATTCCAAATTTGCATGCAGCTCAGAAAAGTAATTTAAAAAAATAACATGCAGAACAGAGATCACCTCTTGACTCCCAGAGGTAGTCTTCCCATCTTCTTTTCAAGATAAGCTATCTTGTGACTAGCGGAAAGGTAGTATTCGCTTTGAACTGCAGGCTCTTAACTGAAAAAACCCCATACTTTATTGTATAGGAAGCTTGAGATGGTCTTTTCTCACGAGATTTGCTGCTGTTGAAGTTCTTTGTTACCTTCCAAATTACAGAAAATGTATTTGCATTGTTTACTACCGATCTGTTTCCCTATCAGTACTCTGCACATTTGGATTTGTGGTCCCAAGAGATCATGCCTTTAAAACAAAGGGATGTAAAAATTAGTATTCAACTGCTTAAGCAGCAAAACAAAGCAGCATACCTCCACTGCGGTGTGGAATAAGTTATATTTGTAATAGAGAAGGTTCTGTGTCGCGTTTGACTTTGCATCCTGATTCTGAAGAAATCTGCTCAGACATTTTCATGTGAAGCAACTTTCTTGTTTACTAGCCTTCTGAAGGTAAGCTTCAATTGTCATTTTGTTTATTATGAAGGTGCTTATATTCCTTCTGTGGGGGACAAAACTCGGTTCTAAAGTCCCTGAAGCATTTGAAAACACTGGACCTGTATCTTGACTTGCTGTGTCGGACTTAGATTTACACTAATTTAAGTCTTTTTAAGTTGAGGGGAGGAAATGGTGAACTTCTCTGGGTTTCTGTTAGAGTAAATGATGGGTAAGATGGATTTATGGAGAGTAGAAGAGTTGGTTCCAGGTTGAAGCAAATGTGATTTATTTCCAAACATATGCTTATATGAGTGTCTGTGTATGCACATGTCCACAGTTTCTTTGGTGTGTGAATATGAGAAAAATATGTGAATGTCAGTTGTTTTATACTCATGTTTTTTGTTACAGAGAGGAGTTGTGTATTAAGCAGTTTATTTGCTATTAATGCTAGTCTCTGAAAACAGTCCAGGCTTGTGCATCAGTTGAGCTAAGTGCTCTTCTCTGGTCTTCTCCATGTCTTTTGTGCTGACTTGAGCTTTCAGAGGGGGTTGTTTGGGCTAAAATACAGAACTAAAAATGAATTAAAATCGAGCTCTCCCCCAGTTGATTCTTCACTCTTAGGCTGTAACTTGCTTTTACCCATTAATATGGATCCAGTTAGTGTTAAGTGGCACCAGTAGATTTCTTCTGGATTCTAGCCAGCTTTGTAAGTAGAGTAACAATCATCTGGGATGTGGGAAGCTTGGCTGCCATTTTGTGGGGCATGGCATGCTGTCTTCCCCGTGTTTGCAGAGTAGTGGCACAGGGAATATGCACTACCAGAATCAGCCCTTTACTGTTCATGGGCAGAGAGAACATAGAATTGTAACTCACATTCATGGAAAAAAAAATAACTGGGGAATTTGTGAAACAGTAGTTTCCATGGTACCTAGGTACAGTATTGTCATTGGATCTGGCTGTGTGAACTGCAGTCTGGTTTCTATAACCATGAGCTTCGAGGGTGGGCTCCTGTGAGGTTCCCCCATACCCTGAGCTCAGGCCATGCCTGCACCCACTTGTATGCAAGTGGCTTCTGGAATCACAAAAGGCTCAGGAGCTCAGTGTGCGGAGACTTTAGTTCTGTGTAAGACTGGGTGATTGGAAATTCCTGTCTTGAAAGTGACAGGAAAAGGAGTAGATCAGTGATGCAATACAGCTGTGTGACTCTGGTGCCTATGGCAAAAAAAAGTAGAAAAAGTGACTTGAAACTTCTTTTAATGTATGTTGAACTCCTGGGAAGATTTGAGGTTGTAAGCAGCTGATCAGAGAAAGGGAGGAGTGGAAGGGAGTTTGCTAACTTTGGCCACAACAGTTACAGAATTTTAGCCTGCTCTAGTCTGGCCCTCTGTGAACTCGGAGGACATAAATGAAGGTAGAAATGTAGCTGATACAAGATGAGAGTAGTGTTGCAACCTAGAAGGCAGAATCCCTTAGTTTGAGGATTATTTATATTTGGCTTGGATCTAGCCAGAGTTGGCAGGTGCCATGTATCTGAGCAGAATTTTGAAAGCACCTAAACATTGAAGGTTGTGAGGTTGGGTTTTTTATGGATTTTGTTGTATTTTGTAAATAAGGAAGCTTCTGGGGATAGTGTTCCCACTGCAATATATGATCTGTATTTGTGAGAGCATTTGAACTTTTCTATGCTCCAAGTGAAGCTCGCAGCCTGTGGCTGTGCAGCAGATTAATAGTAACAGCTGTGGGCTAACACAGGATTAAAACTGTCTTAGCGTATGAGAACATCAGTGATAAAATGCACCTGGTATGAAGTCTCCAGAGACTTATAGGATTGTATGTAAATAGTAAATATGTTTCTATGGTGCTTATCTTCTATTCTGACTTGTGACTGTTGGCCTGTTTTCAGAATTTTTGTTCTGGGTGCTGCGAGGTTAATGATATTTTCAGAGAGGCGGTTATGTGAAGAAGTTGTGCAGGATCTACACAGCCTTAAAACATTTGTACAGTGTGTTTTGTTGGCAAGGTTTTATGATGGTGAAGAGTTTAATGCTTTGCAGAGTTAAAAGAAGCAAGCTAGTTACAGTCTGCGCTAGAGCAGCTTTGCTTCATCACAGAATGATTTGTTTCACCTTTTTGCCTGCAGGGATTTGGTAGGGTAGAGAAAGGATTATGAAAGGAAATATGGTCAAGTAGTTCAAACTACGCTGGAAGGTAACAAATATTTTAAAACACTTTATCCACGCTGTAGTGATTAGTTCAGGTTATTGAAATCCTGCCTGTCAAGGAAGGCACATCTAACATACAGTCAGCAACAAACAGAAAAATCACATAGTGCCTTCAAGGGGTAAATGACAAATGGATAAATAATTTTTAAATACATAGACACATGAACACATTTAATAGATCTGTCTTGTAAGTAATAAGGTAATAAAAATTAAAAATTGAGCAATTTTTTTAGAAAGCAAACCAACTTTAATCTTTTTATGTACTTCTAGAGGATTTGCTTTTTGAGTGAATGTATAGGCAGGTCTTCTCCCTTGAAACTAACCTGTATTTGCCATTTATCTCCTCTTAAGGCTGCATTTAGACATTTCAGTTCAGCATAATTTCTAGAAAAGCCAATTATACTTCATGGTTAGAGGTGAGGCTTTGAGAAGCAGTTTCATGCTTGCATGCAAATATGTCCTAGTATAAAAAAAGAAGGGAAAATAGAACTTGAAAGAGTACACAAGTTTGGTTTTAGGTTTATTGAGAAGGTTGCTGCACGTGTTTCTGACGGATGCTGACAACTTCATTCTGGAGTCAGTTGTCGAGGTGCACATTGCTCCTCAGAGTGTACAGCACACCTCACAGGGCTGTAATGTGCGTCTTTCAGCTGGGCTGAGACCTGGCTTGTATTTGCCCTGCAGTCATGCTAGTTCAAACGCAGTTGTAATTTGAACAGTGATATAATTTGTGATATAGTTTGATAGTGATACTGTTTATGCTGTACACTGGCCAAGTGATGGGTGTAAGAGGTTAATTCTGGTTTAGTAAACAGTGTGGTATTTTACCCTAGGGGTATGGAACATCTTATGTAAAGCAGTTGTCTGAGAGAGTCTTAAGTGAAGCAAAAAGAAAGACCTTGCAGGAAAGCCATGCTTACTGTTTTAAACAGAAATTACTTTAACCTGTGTCAAAAGTAACTTCTGGCAAAGAGAGAGAGGGGCTGAGCAGAAGTCCAAGTAAAATGAAGGTGTGAGTTTTGTTTTCATTCTGCTTCCTGCATACTTTTTCCTGATTTTACTTCTGGCCATAGGAGCAAATGACAGCAGAAGCCTTTTTTGACCCCCACAAAATTGATAGTTTTAAAATTGTATTTCTACAAAATCTGTGTCTTATTGCCAGTTAAGCACAGGCCCTTAGGGTGTGCTTAAGTGAAAGTTACATGGCAACTGTAGTCTAATAGCTTGTGTCCTGAAGAGATCCCAATTCTAGTGGTGTACTAGTCTAACTGCAGTCTCGCTGCAGTGGGAGAAAAAATGCAGCTAATATAGATCCAAAATAGTGGGGTAGCACTGTTACAGTATTCTTCACTAGAAGCCTTAAGATCTATGTTTGGTCTTTTTAATCTCTGTTCCATTCCTTTTCAAATAAAATCTGTGTATTACAGGCAAAAGCAGCAGATTAACAGTTTACATCAGAGGATACGCGAGAATGAATTACGAGCTCAACATGCAAGACTGAGCCATCTTGTACAGTGCGAAGAACCTTACATGACTAATTTGCAGGTAGGGCAAATATTTTTCCTTCAGCAAGGCTTTCCATTGCTCTGTAACTGACACGTGAAGGCATGTTCACAATGCAGGCCAAAATGTTTGGTGTTTATTGATCTTGTATTTGCAGACATCCAAGTTACATTAAGGTTTTGTACGTAATTATTTCTTAATTCTGATAGAAATCAGGTAAGAATGATTGAGATACTGTAAGAATCAGGGTTTAACAGCGTCCGTGTAGGACAGTTATACAGGGAGATATTGGGAGTATCTGAAAACTGATGGAAGCTTTTCTGAAGGGGAGAAGGTCGTACTACCCAAAGGGTTGTTTAGATTGTATTGCTAGAGTAGATGAAAGAGATGCAAGAAGGCAGACTGGTGGAGTAGCTTTCACCAAAACACCTGAAAAGGGTATGGACGAGTAATCCTACGGAACACTTAGTCTGAAAGGGAATGTATGGTGGTATTTTGGGCATACCTGTCCTAATTTTTATTAAACTAGCACTAATATCAGAAGGCATAAGGATGAGGTACCATAGGCTAACAAAAAATGCAGATCATTTTAAGGACTGTGGCTGCTGCCCTGTTGTAGCACACAAATTCCATCTCCAGGCCTTGGCATATCTAAAATACAATGTACAAAAGGAATGTTAAGGGGAGAAATGCAGAGAAACAGCTTTTCTGTCCCACTTTTATTACCTTATCTTTTTCTGTCACAAGCACTGCACCATGTTCTCAGCTAGGATACTTCAGCATGATATTAATTATGTCCTTGGAATAACACAGCTGTGCATCAGGTGAGAATCTGGATTGTGAGAGTCAGGACAGAAATTCAAGTGGAGCCTCAGTGTGAGGTTAGTTATTTAGAAACTTTTTCAGACATCTAGGAATGTGGCTTCTAGAAGTTATTTTATTAAATACTTCAAAATTCTGTCTAGAATACGATTTTTAAAAAAATGCAGAAACTGGAATTTTAGTGTATGTATCTTAGTATACCATAATACACTTCAAATAAAACAGCAGATGCATTCATCTTTTGTAATTTAAAAAGATAAAAAGGTATATAATATGTTAAGATTTCTGCTTGATTTGTTCTGTAAGATTAACTTACAAATGCAAATCTCCTTTAATGGAGATTTTAATCTCTTTTAATGCTTTACTGAAGGAATGTTACTTTTTAAAAATAGTGTCTGTATAATTTCTTTAAAGATGCCAATTTATGTTACTAAAAGAATGCTGAAACTGAAAGCCTGGTGGGATGCATCTCCCTTTTCATCCCACATGCAGTTGATTTCCATTTTGTGCTTAACTGTCTGTGGGCAATGGAGTTAGAAGAGTAATATCAAACTGCATGAACTAGAAAGGGAGAAGGGTTTGCTATATAGGACAGAAGCTAGGAGCCCTGCCTTCTGATTGTAGCTTTAGTCTCAGGCTTGTCCCTGCACTATTCTGCACTTCGGGTGTGATAGCTCTGAAGTTTGGCTAGTACTAATGTTCTGCTTTAGAAGGATCTTGAAATTGGAGCATCTTTTACTTTAATATATTCATAACCATTTTAGAGAGTGTTTTTCTTCCTAGGGGTTAAATTAATAATGCATTAGCAGTGCTGCGTTTTGAAAACACACTATGGATTTTCAGGGGTTGCTTTTGGAAGAAAAGCCACATTTCTTCCATAAGTCTCAAGGCAAAAGTGGCCCCACTGTGTTCATTTGCTTGTGTTGTGAATTCGAAGGGGTCCAACTTATTTATTTTTTTGCTCCAGCTCCCTGGAACACATGCTGTTACCATATATTTTAATGTTTGAAAAATCGACCCCCACCCTTCCTGACAATGGAAAAAAACACGGGACTGTTTTCTGCTGTGCTGCTCAAGTATACATGCTGTGGTTATGTGTGCATTCATTTGTATGATTACTGTATTTCTTTTTGTAAGCAACCCCAGTACGAGAGCACGCCACTGCAACCTCACGTTTCGGAACGATCAACATCCCACCTCGAGGAGCTTGAGCGAAAGATTGCAGCAGCTGAGAATAAGGAATTGCAACTCAGTGAACTTGTAAAACAAATTTCAAACAAATCTAGTGAGGAGAAGAAGAAGATGGAGGAAAAAGTAAGTGACTTCCGTGTTGCAAGTTTCTTTTTGACAGTTACAGCAGCGTATGTTTTGTTTACTAGAAAGTAATGTAGTATGTGGGGTGCTGAACTGTTTTCGAAAAGCAGCTACATTTATCTGAGATAGAAAAACTGACAGTGATTGTAGGTGTTGGCAATGGATGAATCTGAACTTGTAGTGAATACATCCTAAAAAGTGATACTAGGTGAAATGGGTATCATGATGACAGTTTTAACCAGGTAATTTGGTTTCAAGAAAAGCTTATCAGTTCTAAGAATTCATATAGCTTGAAGTATAATTTTAAAACTGTGTGTGAAAATGAAATCCCTATTTTTTTATCATGGCCTGTAAATGTGGGCCTCATGCTTTGAGACCCTCTTCCCAGCCTATATGTGCCTACTCAGCAGGAGTGATTCTCTTCTAGCTTTGGTATGATGTGCAGACTAGACTGTACTTAGAGACAAGGAAGGGGTTTAGATGGATGTGTGTTTGGAACTGTTTTGACAAAGGGTTTCTTTGGAGGCTGAAGCAATGCCCAGTTTTGAATATCCTGGCAGCCTTCCTTTATTACAAGCAGAAATGTGCCATTGATGAAGTGGTTCCTAATTGATGTCATTGTCACTGTTACCTTTCTCTTCATTGATCACTATGCCTCACTACTGGGCTTAGATTTATATCAGTGCAGGCTCAAGGGTTAAGACAAGTATGATACAGTGAAGTGGCAGGTGGCAAGACAAAGGAAACATAATTCTTCTCAAGTTTCGTGTTACCGTTTCCTGTGAACCCTGCAGTATGCTTTTCACTGAAGGTGACATTCAGGAAGGGCAGAATGGATTCTCCTGCTTCCTTTTGTCTCAGCTTTTACTGTTTTTGTTCCTCACTGTGTAGGAGCTGCTGCTATAGGTGGTAGCAATGGTGAGGACCTGTGCAGCAGTGCTTGTGTCAGTGGGATGGTCTGTGGCAAGGACCCTGATTCTCTGCACAGACCTGATTCACCTCTTAACACCTATCCATTCTGTGCACTGAACAAAAGGCTTTCAAAAAGGGAGGGGAAAGGGAGAGAGAAGTTGTGTTTCTGTGATAAAATTGGTGCCCTTCTGTTTGAGGGAAGATCGTGGAGGGAGAAAGGAGTTGTTCTGTGTTCCTGCAGGGATGTGGCAGGCTGGGAATCTGAGTAGTAGGCTGGGTGCTGAGCTTGGGGACAGTCATCTGTGGAATTCCTCTACTGTGCGCACAGGGCAATCAGCCCAGAGCCCAAAGGCACGGTGTCCTGGGTCAGTGACTGATGTTAGGGGACAAAAATACAATTTCTCTACTGATCAGAAGGCTCGTTGCCAATAGCTGTGCTAGGCTTATTTCCGAACCAATGCCTGCCTCTTCCAAGAGGGTAAGTTTTCAACCCAAAGCCAGATTTAGCCAGGGAATAGGGAAAATTCAGGTGAGCTTTGCTTTTAAGAATATGCCAAAAGAACATACAGAAGTTTAGTTTAAGGTTGCTGGCATACATTTCCACTTCTCTGCCCCACTTCTGCAAATAATATTATCTTTTCCTTCTTTAGAGTTTTTAACAGAGAACATTTAAATACAGTGTACAGTTGGTATTTTTTTTTTTTACAATAAGGGACAAGCTGTGACTGTGCAGTGTAGGTGGGAGGAAGGAAAACATAAGGAACATTCTTGGTTCCTTGACCATGTTTTGGCAGTGGTAAGAAGTCTAGGAAAGTCTCCCTCATGACAAAAACAGGATGTATTGAAGTTGGAAAAGGTTCAGAAAAGGACAACAAAGTAGATACCATCAGAAAATCACAGGAGGAATGTTTAAATTTTCATACTGGAAAAGAAGTGACTGAAGGAGAACGTGGTAGAGTCTGTAGAGACACAAGCAATCTGGAAGGGACAGAGGGCAGTCAGCTCCTCACTACAGCTCCTGTTACAGGAGTGAGGGGACATCTAGTAAAGCTCTAGGAGAGAAATACATTATCAGCAAGAGGAGCCAATACCCTATGCCAGTTCTCTATAGCAAATATGTAGATTGTGTCTCTAAGGAATGTTGTGGATGTTAAGGTGGATGTATTTGATTATTTCCTTCTGAGAAACTGTAGGGCCAGCAGAGATCAGAGGTGCTCTTTGTTCACTGCTGGCATCATACCTGTATTTCCTCACTTAGACATACTAAGTAAGGGAGCATTTGTATCACCTTGTGAATAATTCTGATGCCTGAAGGGAAGGGTTTTTTACCCTATGCTCCATGTGCAGTCAGTGAAGGACTGAGGTGATTGAGAGCTCTTTAATTAGCACTGAAATTTCAGAAGCCTGAAAAAACTTCTCTGTCATGGCCAACTGGTAGTCACAGTAGCTTTCTAGCTGAGGGAGCCTGCTATGGTAGGTACTGCTGTACTCTCCACCAGTGTCCAGATTTTGCAGCCCTCACTCTAATTCTGAGAGATTTCATCTGGAAATTGGACTGCTGGGCTGGAAATGCTTTAAACTAAACACCCTTACCCTGCTGGCTGCTCCTTCTTCCTCCCCTGTGGGTAATTTTGAAGGGCTCCTGTAAGGTACTGCTGATAGCTGGTAATACTGTTCTCCCCTATGATTTCTGTGGCCTTGCTTTTAATATTTAATGGCCAAGAGGCAAGAGCTTTCAAAACAAAACACAACAACAACAAAAAAACAAACACACAAAAAAACACCAGAAAAATGTTTTGTCACACAAGTACTGGTGTATTCTGATAGGCCAACCTGGCACCCTTAGTGATATGTGAGAAACAGCAGGAAGAAATTCTCTTAGCTAATGGTCAGGCTCCTGGCAGTTCTTACTTTGCAACATTGTCTTACATGTCTGTATTTATATCACTGCCTTAAGATTTGGGGGAGAGTATGTGGTTCTGAAGCATATGTTGTGGCTAAAATTCATGGCTGAATTGTAACTTGGCCTTACTAAATGCGGGGTTTACTTGGGCTTTGTAAGCAGCCTGATTTGCTTTTTTAAGCAGCCTGGAAGCTTTGTTCAGTTTTGAGATCTTGATAAAAATACAAAGATTTCTAGCTTTTTGACAATCCTCACTTTTGTGGCCCATATAGAAGGCTATCTCAGGAAAAACCTTCCAGATATTGTTGACTTAAACTTTTCAGTTGGCTCTGTTACTGAGCTCTGACATTGACAGTGTCATACATGTATTTCTCAGTGAGATGGATGCATGTAGCACTGAAAGAAAAGTACATTCAGCATTTACTCCAGTGACAAGTGTTTGTTATCTGTAAATTACTATTCCTTCAAGCAATAAAGATAGTATTTTTCATTAAATTGGACTATGACTAGAAAATACTCTTTTTCCTTCCTGCTTTTTTTGACTTGAGTAATAAAGCAAAGTAAGTACCAGGAATGCAAGCAAAGATAACGCAATATGAAAAATCTCTTGCAGGCTGACAGACAATTAAGATGTCTATAGAAAAGATGTTTAAGAAAGCCACTATTCTGTTGTGATGTCCTCTGATGTCATTGTTAGACTGCATCAAAGTCAGATTTTTGGGTCCAGTTCTTATTGGGTTAAGTTCTTGGTCCTTGTGTGTTGTTTTCCTAGGCCAGAAGAAGAGAATAGACTAAAATATTTCCTGATAAATGATTAGGAGCATCTCCATTGGAGAAAAAAAAAGAATAATTTAACTGTTGAACTGTTCATGTTTTCAGATCACAAGGCACATGGAGTGTTCTGGGTAAATGCCTGGGATTTGAGGTCACATGTGGGTCTATGACTTGGAGCTGCTGGGATTAATCATCCTTTGGTTTTGTTTTCTACACTAACTAGCCCTTTCATGCAGCTGAGAGTACTTGAAGAGTCGCCAGTCTCTGCTTCCAAAGAAGGTTTATTTTTCACTGTAATCCTAAAACATATACTTTTACTTTCTTCTAGCTTAAAACTAGAGACCGATATATTAGTAGCCTGAAAAAGAAATTCCAGAAAGAGTCTGAGCAAAGCAAAGAAAAACAAAGACGAATTGAAACATTAGAAAAATATCTGGCTGACCTACCAACTCTGGATGATATACAAGGGCAGGCTAAACAGGTAAGATAAAAGGAGTTTGCTTTACATTTTAAAAATACAAGTAAGCTTCTGATCTGTTGGCCGTCTTTTTTTACTGTTTCAACATGTATTTCTTTCCCCATCTGCAAAGAGGTATTTCAAGGTTTCAGAAAGCACTATAGCTATAGGGGATTCTCATACTCAACTAAGTGCAGTGGGCCTAAGGTTATATAGGAAGTAACTATGAGGCTGTGGCCTATCACAAGGCCTTCTGCTAATGTGGCGTTGTGTCTGACTAATATGACCTGTCTTAGCTGCAAATTCTAGAAGAGAAGAACAAGCAACTTCAAGAAACTACGACTGAGTTAGAAAAGAAGCTCGCTGAGGCCCGATCGCAGTGCAGAGAGACAGAATTGCAACTGGTGGGTCAGAAGAAAAAAGAAAAAGAGCTGGTCACAACAGTACAGAGGTATGAACAGCTGTTTGGGCTGTGCCCTGTAAAAGGTGTACTTTCCTACCTGATGCCAAGACCTAATGTTATTTGCACTCTAAATTTATTACAATGCTATTGATTTTTTCGTAGCATAAATATATTACTGTGCAGAATGACAGTGTAATGCAATAGAAAACCCAATAAATTATTTGTGTCAAGTTGCAAGTAATACTACAGAGAAGAGTCTGCCTAGGAAATTCTTCACATTTCTTTAAAGATGTGGGACACTGTTGCAATGGCATCATCAACTGCTGCCAGATAGATGATAGAAGAAACATGTGCAGCAAAGGGGTATTGTATGGAAGTTGTCAGCACTCCTATTTGATTAACTAATCGTGTCACAAGCTGTGGAAAAGCTGCCTGGATATTGGCTGGCAGCTATATCGGGAAAGGGTCAAAGATTTAAATAAATTGAAGCTGTTTCTTACCTTTTCACTGAGGGTGGGGATATTTACGGGGAGATTCAGCTGTAGCTAATCAGCTGTAGCTAATCTGTTCTCATTGAACTTGCATAACTATGAAAAAACAAATGGGACAGATATCTGAGAAGATTCCAGGTGAGAGATGGAGATTTGTGATTGTTATATTTTTAGATCAGAAGAGCCACTTGAACACTTATTTTTAAAAAAAGAGGGGAGTGACAGGGAGCAGGAGGGAATAACTTTTAATAGTTTATGTGGATATTACTACAGTTCACTGTCCCTTCATTGGGTAATGGTGGATGCCACAGGAGTCTGAAAGTGTTTCCATGATGAAAGGCAAGCTGGTTGAGACACCTTGCCAGCCAAATTGTTGATGCATTGTTTCCATCTTACAATGATAGGCCTTTTTCCCTTGTGGCTTCATAGGGCTAGAAGCAGGTAGTTTTGTCTTTTCTGAAAGTCTGCAGGTAATTGAGGTGGCCTCTGGTTTCTAAATTAAGAGCAAGTTTAACACTAATAAAATATGTCATTTCTGTGAGAAAGTGAGCAGGCAAAGGTTCTAGCTATACCTAGGAGCTTGAGTTTTGCTACATAGGGTCTGAAGGTCATGTCTTTGTGTGGAAGCAGCTGGCAGGAGTGGCTTTATGCTTCCCCTTACAGGTCACAGAGGGCATGAAGAAGTAGGCCACTCTGTGCAGCCTCCATTTCTGGGCTCTGCTTTGAGTTGCATGTGCCCCAGTGAGAGAGAGTCTGATTTTAAAGTTCCTGCAACTTTGAGAGGTTTGAAGACTCCTCTGATCTATGTTGATTCTGGCTTTGCCTCCCACCATAGCAGAGCAGCTGTGACCACCACAAAGCTTTTCTTTGCTCCTCTCTGCCCGCTCTCCCTATGCTGTACTGCTGAAGCTGTTGCTGTTAGAAGATGCAGTGTGGAGTCTGGCCCATAAAACCCTTCCTCCATTACTCTGCTCTTGTCAGAGCCATTATAATTTCAGTAGTTGAGGACTTTTGCATCATTCATCTGCTGTTAGTTTGCTCATTCATGAGGCTGGATTCTGCTAGGTACAATTATACAGTTCTGATTGGAAGATGGTGCAGCTTTCTAATGTTTCACTAAAATACACAGCCCTTCTAGTTTCAGTCAGCACACTGAACTTTTCTTTCATCTTGAATGGCAGTTTACAACAGAAAGTAGAAAAATGTCTGGAAGATGGTATTCGCCTTCCCATGTTGGACACAAAACAGCTTCAGAGCGAGAATGAACTTCTCAAAGAAAAGAATGAGAGAGACAGCAAGGTTAGTCTGGCATTTTTAACCTCGAGTTCTGCATTTCTTCATATTTCTTTTCACTTGAGAAGTATTCCACTAAATAATTCACATTTGTTACTAATTCAGATTACTTTTTGGTACTACCTGTCTGTTTCTGTTCAGTATGTTTATTTTGTGTTACTTTCATGTTCTATCAGAATTAAACTCTGGTTTGTCATTTACATTTTGAAAGATTCCATTTAAAATCTATGGCTACAACCTGTAAGCTCATTTTTAAAAAATTCTCTGAAGAGATTAACGTCTTTTTAATTACTCAATTTTATATTCTAGGTTATAGACAATCAACAAAATCAGATAGCTGGACTGATTTTAGACATTCAGGTAAGGAAGAGTGTATATTCTGTTGTTTACTCTGTTTTTTTAGTTCATAAAGATAACATTACTGAAGTTAAACTTTGTCCTTTTATCTTCCCAGATAAAAGGCAAAGGTAGAAATGTCAAGAGCTTAATCTTGTGTTCTGTAGTTGACCTGTATTCTCTTGTATTTATTATTGATGTTTGTATGGTTTAGCACTATGTTGATACTCATGCGAAGTGAAAAACTGTTGCTGTGAAGCATCCTTATTCTGCTGGTCTAGTGGTTGTCATAACTGCCTCTTTCAAGTGTGAGAATTGTCTCCATAACTAACCGTCAAGCCTCCTATCCAACTTCAGGTTTCAGATAATCATCCAAAGTACAAGAAGTGATAGTGATGAGGAGCTTAACTGCTGACATCCTTAGTAGAGACAGGTGCCTTTCTAAACCATTCCACTTCACATTTCACATTGCTTAAGCAGGTCCCTGCTCAACTGGTTTCTGATATGCCACTTGCTTAGATGTCTTAACTGTGTTGATGGATCTTGGGCACCTAGCTTGGAGCCAAGGATTTTTCAAGACAGCAGAGGTGGTCAGCTGGGGGTCAATTGCAGCTCTGTAGGTCAGCTTAATACATCAGGCTTCTGAGAATTGAAAGTTACTTAGTGACCAGTGTTTGTTATGGAGAAAAAGAAACATTATACAGTTTATAGGGAAGAAGGTAGGACTTGCTCTAGAAAAAGATGAGCATTTAAAAAAACAAACATCTGTTTTCAGCAAATACTGAAGCCCAGTTCAGTAAATTCTAGTTTCTGCATTCTTCCAGATTGGCACATCTCCACATTTTTTGCTTCCTTGCCCTCCAGAGAGACGGAAGTTACAGGGTTGTCCCTTGAGAATGAATAGGGTGCTACTCCTCTTTACATTAAATTTGGAAGAACTACAAAATTCTGCCTGCTCCTTCCAAACTGAAAGGGAGCACTCTATGGAGCTAGAAGCCAAATAATTAAGACACAAAATTGCTTGCATAATAACACTTTCTAAGAGAACGTGCTCTCATTTCCACTTTGCACAATGGAGCCGCCAAGTTTGCTTACTTATAGCAGTTGAAACATAACATTTGTCTGTTAACTGAAAAGCAAAATCAATCATTTAAGCTTCTCTAGGTTTGAAGAAGACAAAATTTATCAAATTGAGATGTTTTAATGGAGCACCCTATTGTATGCAAAAATTGTGACACAGGCAATTGTTGTTTCAGATATTTCATAATTTAAAAAAATATCAAGTTTAACTCATAATCTTTCTGAGGTTCTCAGTCTTTATGGTTTAGTTAAGATTATTTACATATATACTCTGTTAATATGTTGTGCTTATAGGAAACATGCACAACTTGCCTAAATGTATAATCACCAGCCTAAATATTTTCATATTTCCTGAACTTACTGATCTTTTTCTCTCCATCACCTTTATCTTGAGACTGGGGATCTTTGTGCACGTTTATGCAGATGACTGGTTTGTGTGCTTAGTCCAAAGTGACTTCAGGGAGCTGAGATCAGGAAATGCTAGGTAGCTGTGACAATTTGTGAACAGTGTAGTGTTCTTTTCTCCAGGACTTTCTCTTCTATTTTGACATATTTTATATGAGAACAGAAAGTAAGATTTTAAAATGGTTTTAGCCCTCAAATTACTTGAGGACTACAGCAGCTTCTTTGTATCCTTGATCTCCCTGGCCTTCCAGGTTTGTTCCCTTGGAAGCACTGAAAATCAGTTTGCTAGAAACTGAAATCCCATATCAGGAGAGATAAGAGCTTATCTTCAGCTTAGAAGGTCTCACTTTATTCTCTGTCTTCTGCCACGTTATAAACTTATGCTTGAGAATGTGTTTAACTTCATTTTTTTCATCATGCAAGTTAAAAATAAATCCTGTTTCAGACAGCAGTGTGTGAAGCAGTACTGGTTTCTATCTGCTCATAATCGTGGTAGATTATTTTAATCTGTCTTGTGTGGTTTTGCTTGGTTGACTTGTTTTCCTGAGTGTGAGAGATTAAAATTCTGGTTGGTCCTGACAAGATGTCATGCTGAGTACATCTTCAGAAAGAGAAAAACTGTAAATGGGAGTAGTGTTTAAAAAAAACATATTTACATGATTAACCTAGATATCACCAAATTATCATTTTTTTGTTGCAAAAGAAGACAGTAGAAGTCAAACGGATTGTATGGTGCCTGTGTTACCCATGGCACATCTGTCAGTCGCAATAAACCCAAGCTGTGCCAGGCGGGGAGTAATGCCACCAAACTGTAACTTTGGAAAGTATATGGAAGAATTAAGGGTGAAGTACAGAGGACTCAGTACTATGAGCAACTGGGAAATCACAGCACAGTGTGCTCAGCCAAGCTGATAAGTACATGTGCTTTGTCTGAGTTTTAAGGTTAGGGTAGCAGAGAATGATAGATGGTAGGTGTATCTTTTAGAAATAGACACGGATTTCCACTTCTTGTAGTTTCTGTTAAATGGAGCAACTCATGACCTGAACATGTGGACATTATTTGCAATACTGTACTTGCTTTTGGAGTAGCTCGCTCAGTCATGTAAATTTAATGGCAGATGTGGTTCTGAAAATACACTGCAGAAGGTAATATTTCTGAACCTGTCTTCCGCACCACCTCCCCACCTTCAGGAAGGCTGCACAGTCAAACCTTTTAATGTCTGATGCTGACATGAATGTGAAACATGTAAGTGGTAGTACTGGTGCGTGGATCATAACTAGGGCTCTGGGTGTCCCTGAACTTGCTCATCAGTAGAGACTATTAAAATTCAGATACTTGGAAGCTGGGAGGTTTTGTAACCTGCATTGCTGTTCTCGTCTTGCTTTGTAAGCATCTTCTGTTCAGCTGCTGCCACAGACAGAGCTAGAGGGACCTTCATTCTGACTCCAGATGGGCATTTTTCTCAGTACATAATGTTTTCTTAAAAAACTAAAGAAGGCAGTTGAACACCACTACAGGGTCAGCTCATCTGCAAACACAACAAAGGAAATGCCTGAACCAGAACTATTTCCTGCCCCCTCCCAGCCCAGGATGTTTCCTTTGACTTTCTTCCCCTTCCTTCCACTGCAGCGTGAAGCCGTGTGCTTTGCTTATCTTTAGGATGCACCTTATTTCAGCACTTCCTTGTGAGGGCCACGGTGTGGATGAACTGAACAGCAGGTCAAGTGAAAATGGTTTTGAAAATAAGTAGTTATTTCTGGATTCTGCCTGCTGATCTTTATTACTTATATGAAAATACAGTGTGTGTTTTTTTTTAGTCCATATTAAGTGTGTAAATTTTAGCACCATTGTGTCATAGAATCATAGAATCCTAGGGGCTGGAAGGGACCTCAAAAGATCATCTAGTCCAACCCCCCTGCCAGAGCAGGGTCACCTAGAGTACATCACACAGGAACACATCCAGGTGGGTTTTGAATGTCTCCAGTGAAGGAGGCTCCACAACCTTTCTGGGCAGCCTGTTCCAGTGCTCTGGCACTCTCACAGTAAAAAATTTTTTTTTTATATTCACCTTGAACCTCCTATGCTCCAATTTGCACCCATTACCCCTTCTCCTATCACTGGTCATCACTGAGAAAAGTCTAACTCCCTCATTGTTTCCCAGTTTTGCAGGGGGTGTGACAAAGTAATGGCTTTTCTCACTGCTTGTGCAGTGTCAAGCTGAATGCATTGGGAAATTGTCAAACTCACTGTCAGCTCTGCCTTGCCTCTTGTTACTCTCTGCCTTCTTGTCAGCACTACTAATTCTTATAGGTGGCAAGTCAATTGGATGGTTTCTTGTCCGCTCTGTTGGCCGCAAAGATGCTAAAAGGCAGGCCTCTGGGTAGGCATAGGAGCCTATGTGCTACAATCCCCAGTACTGGTGCCCTGGAAGTTCTATTCTTCGTATGTCATAGGAGCGACTCCCACAAATACAAATTCGGCTTGTTTTCCAAAGCTAAATTCTTTTCCTAAAGACCCCAAACGAACATACCTTGACTCAACTTACTGTGGTTCTATCAAGTGAGGACCTTGGATTTTTTTTCTGTCTGAATAGCATTGCAGAGACATAGCACAGCAATTTAAACTTATCTCTTACTAAGGAGTGAGTTTGATCGTTCTATAGCATTTTATGTAAGCTACCATATAGAATTTCCTGTGAGGGAGTTCTCTGCTTTGGAAGAACAATCTCTTTGATTGATCCTACAGAGATTTAAAAAAAAATAAATTATTCTGGGATGGTGTAATTCCATTAATTGAGAGCCATTGGTTTGTGAAATGTTATTCTCCCCTCAGTGTGGTCTCTAGTTCCACACTGTGGAGTGTTAAAATCAATACTGTACCCAGGCATGCACCATTGTGACCAGCTGTATCTTGAGCATGATGGGATAGGATTTACATCTTATAATTCAAATTGGGTAACAGGTTTTACATATCAGCATGTTGAGATAGGGATGGAAAGGATAATTCATATGCACTGTGCTAGCACTGCTTTGGATTTGTGAGTAATACCATTAACAACAAAAGAGGAATTTTTTTTCATGAAAGCTGAAAAGATCTGTTTTAAAGCATGAGGAGTTTTCAGTATTCCTTGTTAATTAGTATTCTGAATTTTGTCAGATGACCCTGAAAGACATCCAGAGATCTAAAAGCTAGCTAGTCAAATGAATATGATGGCTTTAAACAACAAATGCACCCAAAAAAATCCACTTTGGAAATATCTCATGATTTCTCAGTTCCAGCTCTGTAGGTAAAAAATGAGGAATTGACAGCAGCTGATTCCATGTTGCAGTGGTTGGTCGTTGCTGCTTGTGACTGATTGGGAAGTCAGTCCTGGAAAGCTCCAGTGCTTAAGTAGAACAGCATCCAAAAATTTGCTGTTTACATTACTGAAAATAGTAATTATTTTATCTGTTAAAATTACATGATAAACTACAAATAATTTACTTATTTTTCCCTCAGTTGGTTTTTCAGCGCAGTTGAGCTGTATAGGCTGTTCTGTCTTGTGTGTAGATGGTTTTAAGAGGTTGCTTCTCTGTATCAGCTGTCAAAGGCTTTGAGGTGAATTCTGTGATGTGAAGTGTAGGAAGTCCTGCCATAGTCTTCATAGAAAGTAAAGGCCAAAAAAATCATAACTTGCAACTTGGAATTGTGCAAATTAAATTTGTCGTTAATCTGCTGCTTATTTCAAGTGACATTATTTGGTTTGCTTAAATACTGCATGGTTATTTCAGACTTCATGCATTCCATATTGGAGTAAGGTTTTGCATACATAGAGACTTTGTTTCTAAACACATACTGCTTATTTAAAGGGTTTTGCTGATACTTGAAATAGCTTTGTTAGTGTACAGAGAGCTGTTGGAGTCCAGCTGAATATTACCAGGTGGAACATGATAGAAAACAAAACATTAATCATTCATACAAAAGCAATAAGTAACTGAAACTTTAAAACATACTGAGGATGCATTTTTTGTCAGTGCTAATATAAAGTATAAAAATGTAAAATAATTACCTGTGTTTTTGTTCACTTAGTCTATGCAAGAGAAGCTTTTGCAAGAAAAGCTGCTAGTTCAGAAGATGACAAATGATCTTGAAGAAAAAGAAAGTCATATAGAGCAGTTAAATAAAGCTGTCTCTGAAGTAAGTAAAAACTCCAGTACCCCAAATGGGAAGAACATTACAGAATTATTATAAGATCCCATGGTAAAACTTTGAGCTTAATTACATACTTGTCTGTACTGGCTGCCATGCAGACAAAATAGATACCATCCCTACCTCAAGAAGTGAGAACTTGAAGGGTGAAGGCTGCTGCGCAAGGGTAACACTAAAGAGACAGCCATGTAAAAGCTCTGTCTGCCATTCTTTAGAATGGTACAGAAATATTGCTTGAATATCTAGAAATTAATTATTTTTAATGTTGTTTGTGGTTTGAAACAGGATACTTTCTGCTACAGTGAATGCTGCAGACTAACTGTCCCCTTTTTCTGATTTACTTTTCACAAAGAACCAAAGACTGATGGAAGAGAATGCCTGCCTGAAGGAGCAGATGCACCAGGTGGAACAGTCCAGGCAGCCAGTATCTGAGAAGATGCCTATAGCAGACCAGTTGTTCAAGGAAATGTCCCATTGCTTGTTTGACTTGAAAGCACTGTGCAGTATTCTTACACAGAGAGCTCAGGGCAAGGAGCCTAACCTTTCCTTACTGCTGGGAATCAGATGTAAGTGATGATGTCATTCCAGAGCTGTTTTGACACAGAAGAATAACATATTAGTTAAGTGGTGCTCAAACTTGCCTGCTGGACTGGCTGCTGCCCCCTTGCTGTGCAACTGGAGCAGTTGTGTGTGAACTGTGCTCCTGGAGCTCTGAAAGGAGCTGGGCTTTTAGTGCACCTGGGCAGCTAAATGCATGTGACTACACAGATCCCTGCCAAGTCAGGAGAACAGGTAGCTGGCTCTTCATATGCACCCAATCATGGGTATTCATCCCCCTAGAAAAGAAGTGTGTAGCCATGTGTCTCTGAGTCACACTGTGATACCCTGAGGGTTAATGGATGCTTTTCTGTCAGTCATGTTCTGCCCTATAAGCTCGTAATGAGGGAGGTGAGGCATGCTTTTGTTTCAGAGCCCTTGGGGTCAAGTGGTAGGAATATACGTTTACTGTTTGAACATCTCCATGTCTGGTTGGGGGTGGGGGTATCTGTGTGTATTAAATAAGCTTAATGCCAGGCAGCTTCACCTCCAGTACTGTTAATGGCATGTCAAGTCTTCAGCACTCACTGAGCTGTAAACCTTACCAGGAAGTAAGAAACATGCTCTAAAGCCAGTCAGAAAAAGTTTCAGCATAGTTCCTGTTAGTTCTTATCTTTTAACAAGGTTAATAAATTATTATTTTTTTAACCTGAATGTATCCTATTCCATTGATTTTGGAATGGTAATTAGAATTAATCAGACTGGCTGCTGCTGAACTGGACCAGTAGTGAAGCAGAAAGGTAGAAATACAGTGTCCTGTGCAGCAAGAGCTGCTACACACCACATGGATTCATCTGCACTGTAACCCCCTGAAGCACTGGGGAGTGCAGCATATGTCGGTCTCGAAGTCCATGAGACCAGCATCAGCCAGCAGGATGAACTGCAGCATATCTGTAGTACTGTCTCATCACCTCACATGGCCTCATTTCTCAAGCCCTCCTGTCCCTCTTTTCTGAGTGGCTATAGAAACCTCCAGAATCTCTCGGAGGTGGCTGTTCTACCCAGTTGTCTCACTGCTTTTGAGATCCATCACACTTCATCAAGTCTAGATGTTGGTACAAACAGAAAAGCATGTGTTTCAGACAAACACTCATGGACTCTGAATTTACTTTAAGTGCACATGTTAACTACATTTTGTTGGCTTTTCATCATACTAGATGTCATTCATACTGATGTAATTAAAGTGACCTGCCCCATCTTTCAAAGGGAACTGAGTAGTTGAAGTATTCACAGGACACGTTTACTAAACCTTTAACCTTGTGTGTTGTTTTTCATAGCGCTGAGCTGTTCAGCTGAAGAGAATGAAAATTACCACAGCACAGAAACCCTTTCAAAGAAGCTCTTGGATGTTTGTCAGTTAAGGAAGGATATTGATGAATTAAGGACTATAATATCGGACCGTTATGCTCAGGACATGGGGGACAATTGCATTACTCAATGACAACATTTCATCTAAGCAAATGACTTATTAAATGCTGCTGCGTCACAGGTCTCATGTTATTACTTCACCTAATTTCTGGAATTGGAGCATCAAACCAGTCATGCTGCTACTGCTGTCAATTCTTTCCTTCATCAAGGGTTTGTATGGCATGATCTGTGCTCTGAAATTAGAGCAGAGGGTTGAAGGACCTGTAGCTGTATATAGTGAAGCCAGAGGCTTCTGCAACTGCACTTCACTCTAGGAGATGCTATCAGGACAATCTTGGAGCACTACAAAAAGTGGTTGTTCTTCAAGTTGCCTAAAAAATGTGATACAGGAAAGATGTTGGTATTAGTAATGGAAGTCTAGCTTGTTTGCCCAGTAGGAGAAGAAAATGAAGTTTTAACTCCTTTATGCAAATGAAGTCCATAAAATATACCACTGTCAATTTGTTTTCAGCTCTCTCATGTTGTTGTAAGAAGTTTCAATAGTATGAAGCCTGTGACAAACCCAGAGAAGCTGGAAGGTGTGAAACTGCAGCACAATGTGTGGCTGTTGGGGAAAGAGGAAAAAAAAGAAGACTGTCTTAGTGATTTTAGAGTTCGTACCATACCTGTTTCTCCCTTAAGTCATCTCCATTTTGAAATGTGGCTGGTCTGTGTTCTATTCCTAAAGGTCTTTGAAGTTGTGAACCACCTCAACTGTTTTTTATCACACCTACAAAATGGGTGTTTGGCACTTGGCAAAATCAGGTGTCAGAACAGAATGTTTCCACTTGAGCAGTATTAAGTACTTGGTTACCGGAGGACTGCAAAATTTTCTACAGTGTTTGGGAATTCTTGATTTCTGCATTTCTGTAGGAAGCAATTACATTTTAAAAAAAAAAAAAAAAGGTAATGTTCCATAATTTATTCAGCAACTGTCTCTTGGCAGTGCTATGTCACTCCCATGGGACAGATGGCACATTAATGCTTCTAGTTTCCTGGAACGTTACTGCAAGTTAGCTGCACAGCTATGCATGGTGTAAATTAGTATTTAACTGAAGGAAACAAAAGCTTGCAAAGATTAAAACCACTCTCAAATCACACTTAAGAAAATACACGAGCATTGGTTACTTACATGGTATTAAAAGAAGGTCTCAGATTACTAAGGTGCAAGTCAGTCAGCTGCCCCGTAACAGCAGAAATCTCTTGGAAATCTTAGTGATTAGTACCAAGAAAATTCTAGGGTAACATCTTTATGGCAGAAGTGTTAGTTTCTTCAGTTTTATGATTGTAATTTATGTTAATAGAAAAAAAAAAGGTATAGCAATGTAGACTTGTTACCAGTCTTGACTCGGTGATCTTTTGCTTTCTGTTCATTGTTAAGCAGTTACTGTTAATTTTTTTATAATTTAGTGATTTAATTCTTTTTAGCTGTATGGACTTACTTATTTGACAGTTTTCTCTCTCCTGAACCTACACATGGACTAACTTGTGAAAAATAGTGTTGCTATTTATATTATTGTTACATGATGTTTTCAGATCTGTAATCTGACTGGTTCAGCTTGTGTGAGCACTAAAACAGAGTCTAGAGTCTAGATGACATCTCAAGTGAAATTGTCTGATGTTTCTACTTCAAGGTAAAAAAGCCATTTTATTTTAAATTTCTGTTGCTTTGAAAGTGTACTTTTATACTAGTGCAAAACTGAAAACAAGGATCTTTGCACAAATGGGCTTGCACAGTTTCCTGTGCCTGTAGCTGTATTGGCTTTTGTGACTAGGGCCTTGGCTTGTTTCTTTGGTGTAGTTTCTTGGTTTTGGCCCTGCAGTGAAGTAAGTCTCCAATTTATGGCATGTCTCCTATCAGAGTTCAACAATAGCATTTCAGATGTTAAAAGTATATGTATTAGGAGATAGAAAACACCTAAGTCGCACATTATTCTTTCCTTAGATGGAAACGTTGTACCTGTAACACAAGGTTTTCCTTAGATGGAAACGTTGTACCTGTAACAATTATCAAGCAACACAATTTTCTAACTTTAGTGGGAATAACAAGGAGTTGAACAGAGCAATTAGAGAGGAGCAGAAGATTTTTTTGAGTCACTTTGAATGATTAAGCAGGTCACTTGGCTGGTGTGTCTCCACAGTCCCTGTTAAATGGTGATACTGTACTGCAGAGTTGAGATCAATAATCTATATTTGCAAAGCACTTCAGGAGCTTTTATGCTTTTCAAGGGTTAGTTGAAAGTCCCTCAGGAAGGAGGTCACATTTTATTTTTAATAATTTGATTGCAGTTATGTAATCTCAAATTGTAGTATTTTTATTATGGAACCTGTAATATTTATGTTGACTTTAAAGCACTTCATTTAAAAAAAAACCTGAGTTTATCTGCCTCAGTCAATGCAAAGTAGGGAGGTAAATGATGGATGTGTGAGCCAAAGATGCAGACTACCAATTGACTGTCTACAGTGATACAGTATTTTGCTTTGACTTCTTAAAATTTGACCTGTTGTAAGAGTAGCAATTACTATATATGCATCAGTTTATGGATGCCTCTAAAAGGAATAAGCTTTGTCTAAGATATGCATGATTGTTTAATTGGTTAAAATGTAGTGTGTGGTCTCATTCAACATATTTAATACAGAGTTGATAAATGAATGTTAACATTGGAATTGCTTAGATTTAGTCATGACAACTTCTTGCTGTAGCTATTAGACAATCTCAAGGGCTGAGAACCAGCCGCTAACAAGTGGCTGCTGTACCCTGCTGGCTGTCGGCAAGTTGGTGCAGCAGTTTATTCTTTTTTTTTTTTCCAGATTTAATTTGTACAATCCTTTAAAAGATATCTACAGTAACTACTGTAATCAAGAATGTATTTTGAAAAAGGCTTGGAAAGTAACTGTCTTCAGACAAGCTACAGGTGATGCTATGTATTTACTATATAGAAGTAACGCAGCTCGGTTGTGTAAATGTGCCTCAGGCTGCGAGGCTCTGCTGTGCAGCTGTGTAGTGTGGTAGTTGTGTGACACTGTGACCACCCACTCAGGCTCCAGCATTCAAAACTGCTGGTGGCTGTGAAGTCTTTACAAGAGCTGAAGTGTTGTCCTTTTCACTTTAAAAGGTTTCCTGCCTTCCTTTGCCCTCGCTTGCCTGCCTTTTGTTTCAGACGTTTTTCCCGCAGGGTAAGAGCACAAGGAAGGAAGGCAATCAAACCCCTTCCTCCAAGGCCTGCTGCCCCAGTGTGGGCAGCAATGGCACGTGGCAGTCGCTCCACATGGGTGTAGTTTGCTCCTGTTTCTCTTATCAGTGATGTTTGCAGGTGGAGTTGCAGGTATAATCAGGCTCTTCTCACGGATGTGCCGAGTTGTCGTGAGTGGGGAGAATATCTTCTGAACGAATCTGCATTCTCAGCCTTCAAACAGGTCAATGGTTATTATTTTAAGGGATGATTTATTCCAGTAGCTCATTAGCAATATTAATTCCACAGCTGCATACCTTTGTGCCTTTTTTGCCTGAAGTAAGTGTATATTCCCCTTGAACTTTAGATAAATTGTTAGGATGCTGATGACTGCACCTTGCTGACCTCTTACCTGCCGCTCTTTTGTTTATAAGCTTCTGTAGTAAGAATTCTTGCATAATGTCTAGAAAGAGAAGTACTGAAACCAGGTACTAGGTGTACACTTGAAATGCTGGGCTGGTTGTAGCATGCAGCTTTTTAAAATATGAAGCGTGAGCAGGAAACTCCTATCACAATGTGTCTATTTTGTATATATTAATTACAATATATCATTAGTTCAGTGGGAAGGAGTGTCTGGAGCTATCTTTTAAAAGCACAGCTGACATATGTACTGGATCAGTCCCTGAAGACT